ATATATATGCACAAAAAGCTAGTGGATTACCATAAACCCATATATTGCACTCTGTATCTGCTTCTGACTATCTTTTTTTTCGCTTCTGAATATCGATTTAGTTCTTTGTAGGTTAATTGTTATATTATCGTGTTACGGATTGCTGCTCATCATAGAATGTAGTTTTTAATTAATTAATTCTGATTTAATTGTGTAATAATTTTTATATCATTAGTACATAAAACTTAAATTCAAGAAAGGTTACCTCTTTTAAATGCGCAGGCCGCTCCAACAACAAATGCCAGACATAGGGTGAATACTGCCATAAGAACATAGTTCCATGGATGTTTTCTTCCGTAGCGACCCATGAAGAAGCAAACTGCCAAGTTTACACCAAAGACAAAATCAAAAACAATTAGCACACCATTTTCATTACCAAACTGCCAATTGTTTGGAGTTATTTAACTGAACATAAAATAAAAAACAAAGAAAGAATCTTTTTAAAAACAAGTTAAGTATGCATAGAATATACCAAAAGTATCCTAATAAGGTTTATCAGGAATCATGTCTATTTCTATAAAAGTATCTAATTGAAGGTAAAATAAAAAAATTTTTATTTTGTGTCTCATACAACTGACACTAGTTGTATGAGACATCTTTTTTGTCTCACAGTTTTGTGGACCCAGAAATGTAAGATTGGGGTATTTGTGAGAGAAAAATGAGCCTCACACAACTAATGGCAGTCACCCAATAAAACTTCTCGTAAAATAAATACTATCATCAAGGGTGCCAATATCTTTTTTAAACGAACAAAAAAGAATAGAATGCCAAATGAATTGTGACGATGAAGCATCCTTTTAATTTTTTAAGGCTCCCAAAAATAAAATTACTTAGTAAGTACTACATAGAGAACTAAAAAGAAAATTGTAATAAGAAAGCTTTTAAGAAGAATTGGTTTTACGTATAAAAGCGATGACAATAAGGACAATCAAGGTGGCGAAGCCAAAAGGTGTGCGCATGTAATCTTTGACGGCCGGAGTGAAAAACATGGCGGTGGCAATCACGGCGGTGACGAGAAGCTGCGTGCACACAATCGCGTAAACTTTTCTGATAAATGCCCATCTCATCTTTGGATCTTCCGTCATTCCGGGGTATATTTGGGCACCGCCGGCTCCGCCTTTGAAGCCGGACTCAATGTCCACACCACCGGCTCCTCCCTTCTTGAACATTTTGTTAAGTGTTCCTGAATGATCTGATGAAAATCGAATCTTGAATTAAACATAGGCAGATAATGATTTAGTATGCGTACATATATTATGATGTGCACTTACCGTCTTTGAATGATGAATTTGCCTCTGGAATTATTTGGGAAGTGTGTTTTATCAGGTATCAAATCAACCCCGGAAAGGGGATGAAATGATATGGGGAAATTGGAATTGTTTTTGACGCAGATAACAAATGTGTTTGGATGTGATGAAGAGATTGGTTTAGATGAATCTGGAGGAAGAAGAGGAATAAGAATGAGTTGGTTGGAGGAAAATTACTCTTGGCTTCTTTATTTCTCGAGTTGTGGCAATAAGTGAGAATGAGAGGTTGAGAATTAATTTGGCTTGCATGCATGGGATCATTCTGCGGTTTGCGGTACCATGAGAGCTAGCTAGTACATTCAAATTCTAACTTTTTGTAAATACCGAAATTTATCATCTGGTACTCTCTAAAAGCCACAGGTTGTCTAATATTAGTCATACACATGAGAGGATTTACCTTAGAGACAATGAGTGTCATGTGACACCGCTTCATTAGATAGTTTTTACTAATTATTAATCATATAATACGAAAAATTGAAATATTAGTGTATACGGTCGAGATCATATGCCTTCGATCTATATGCTTGAGAGGTCGTCCAAAGTCCGAGTTCAGGCAAGGTCGAGTCCGAGCTCGAGGGGCTAGACCCGAGTTCAAAGACAGAGTGCGATACATACCGAAGTCGAGTGTGCTCGATCCCGGAATAGTACCATTATGGATTTGTAACAGAATGGGCTAGATTTCTGCTACGTCCCCAAGATCACGGCGCAAATCCCGGAATAGGATTGTACTATTCCGTACTAGGTGGTTATACAACTGTACAAAGAATATTCCTTACTGTAAATAGAAATATACCTTATTTAGGATTCTCCTATTATACAAAGAGACCCCAATCATTTGTAATCTCATCTCATCATTGGCAAGAATATACTATCCTACTTTTCTCTCTTACTGTTCATCAGAATTGTCCTTTAGCTCTACCGCTCTTACTTTACTTTTCTTACTTAATTGTTCTTATTGCTCTGAACCTACCTCGAGGTCACGAAGCTTGAGGTCACCGCTGCTGAGTAACTTTGGTTTGATTCACTTGTTTCTTTTATTTCTACTTCATATTACTTGATTATTAATTGGTATTGAATCTAATCACATATCTTTAAAACCACAAATCAAATTTAATTGTTACTCGTATTTTCGAGGTAAACAGTTTGGCGCCCACCGTGGGGCTAAAGATAATAGTGATTGTTTCTTTACTGATTCTCATTACTCACGTTATTTTTACACCTTTTCTCGTCAAGAATTTTTGATTCTCAGGCTGAAACATGTCTAGCTCACAAAATGCACCTGTTCATTGCAACGAAGGTCTTGGTGAAAACAACAATATAGGGGTCGGTGTACCATCGATAAACCCTGGGGAAGTGCCTAACATGGAACCAGTTGATGTTAGTTCACATATTGCTCCAAAAGCGGATTTAGGCATAGACCCCGGAGGGAGTGTACATAGGGAAGCCCGACCTAGTGGCCAAGGAACACAAGGAGTGGGTGATGGGGGAATCAGCCTCTAAGTAATATTCGAGATGTTTCAAGCTCAACAGGTCGCCATTGCTCAGCTTCAAAGCCAAAACAAAACTCCGAGTGTAGCTGAACATGAAAACAATCGGCGTGCTGAGCCAGCGCCAGAAAGGTCAAATGGAAATGACTCGAGGACTGAACCCACCTTTATGAGGATGCTCGAAGAGCTCACCAAGAGGATCGAGTCCGGAGAAAAGAAGATTGAAGACAATGACAAAAAGGTGGAAACTTATAATTCCCGTGTTGACCAAATACCGGGGGCACCTCCAATTTTGAAAGGATTAGATGCCAAAAAGTTCGTACAAAAACCATTCCCACAAAGTGCGGCTCCGATGCCTATTCCTAATAAGTTCCGCATGCCCGATATACCCAAATATAACGGGACAACCGACCCTAATGAGCATATTACTTCATACACTTGCGGGATAAAAGGAAATGATTTCAATGACACCGAAATTGAATCAGTCTTGTTGAAAAAGTTTGGAGAAACATTGTCGAAAGGAGCTATGATCTGGTATCACAACCTACCTCCTAACTCTTGTCGCGCCCCCTTTTTTCCTCCTCGCAGAGAACGTCCGGGTTTCGACATTCATGGGGGACAACTCGTTTCCTTTTGGGAATTGGGTATTTGAAGAGTCGCCACCAAACGGATTATGGTGCGTTAGGGCACCTTGAGCAATTAACTCATGGACTAGTTTGCATCACCAGAGATTTAGGGTAAGGGCTCGAAATAACCTCGAGGGGAAGGTGTTAGGCAACCCTCGCGGTCCACAACGGTGGGTCCCGACCGAACTTATATGAATCAATCATTTGAACAAGTATACAATTTCACCACGTATTGGCAAATAAGGGGGCATATTTTCATATTCTAAATTCAGGCAAGAGATAAATTTGCACATGCATATGTAAAGAGAAGAAAGTTTATTAAAACACATATGGAATTAGGAAAAGGGGGGTCCTAGGTTGGTTAGCCTACAGGATTATACCCACACAATGCCCGGTAATCACTCCTCAATGAAGGGCTACACGTGACATTAGCGCGTAGTCATCATATCCTTACTACCCAATTCCCTCTCCTTGGTCATAGACTAAAGCGTTCTAGCAACCTTGAAAGATATCCTATGCGTGCTCTACCCGTCCCCTTCCTTGTGGCCCTGGAGGTGTTTAGGACCTCTAATTTAGGTAGTTCTAGACCATCCTAAGGTGTTTAAAGGAGAAAAGTCTAAGCGTCAACCAAAACAATTAGGATTGCATTTAAAGGGGGGAACAACTAAAGGCTCACATTTTATCTCCACAAGCAGAACAAATAAGTACACGTCTCAAACAACTGTTTCAGGTATTTAAGAGAAAAACCTTAGAACATGATATCTAGGTGAGCAGAGAGTATACAGTATTGAATTAGGACCAAAGTATCAAAGACCTATTCAGCTTGCCTACTGATTTTAGACCTGTTGAATATGAGCAATCACAGATAACAGAACATGGTTTTACAGTTGCAGAATTTTAATCGTCCTACAAGTTTGCCTATGCGTATAATAGTGATGTCGTATGAGCATGGTATCTATTATTGATCAGGAATGCAGTAAAACCGTAAACGATTTTAAACAGACAACTTGAGATCCTATAAGCATGCTTTCTAGCAATATTAATTAACACGAAAAGAGTAGGTTATTTACTTAAACTGATTCAAAACTTACCAGCATGAGCGTAGAGTTGAACTGATCTTGTGTCTAACTATAGGCATGATTTCTATTTGAACATAAGGTGATGCAGATAGGATTTATTTGATCAAGGCAAAATCCCTATAGGCATGGTTTCTATTAAAACTGGTTTTAATCCTATAGACATGATTTCTAAGGAGACGAATTTGAATACCTACTGTAATGGAAACTGAACTTCAATTACTTTACACCCTATAGGCATGATATCTAATCATAGAGCTGATTTAGATCCTATAGGCATGGCTTCTAATTGTGTGAAAGTAAAGCATGCAGAATTCATTTAAACCAAAGCAGATCCTATAGGCATATTATCTAACAAACACATTTTGAATCGAAATAGACCCTATAGGCATGTTATCTACCCGATTTTACCCACAATATGCAACTACCCACCCCTTTTTCACTAATCACCCCAATGTTTGTTTACAATAATTATTACAGACCAAGAACTGAATATAAATTACATAAATAAAATAGAAGCTAAGCTATAGGGAGCCTGAAGCAGGCCCAAAACAGTCATGGTGTACCAAGCCTTTACTGATCTCAAATGTCCAAAGTTCCATAGCCCAATTCATGTCTAGGTGTGTCAGAGTTCCCTGAGGATCTCAAGGATCCCGGGAGTGCTCACACCCAGGCTTTTCTCAAACAAAGACTGATTATGTGCAGTGTGGAAGTGCCATCCCTGATATGCCAGAGTTCAGAGAGATCTCAAGGGTCTCAAGGCAGTACACATATCAGAGGGGCAGAACCTAGTAATCTAAGAGTAATGTGAGAGTGCATAATGATTTGAAAGAGTTTGGTAAGCAGTAGCAAGAGGGCCTTAGGAATGAAAAAGGATTCTCTGAAACCAGTACACAATTTGGGTGGAAAACAATTTGAGAAAACATGAAGAACATTTTTTTAGAGAGCGAGTCACAGAACACACAAATTCAGAACAGACTTCACACAAGGAGAAAGGGGTAGGGTACACTCAGAATGCACATTGGTGATGTCAAACAAATACACAGATTCTTTATGGAATTGACAAGTTAGTTACAAAGTCATGTTGAGAACACACAGGTCTTAGACACAAATAGGATCTCATTAGTGAAGTAGAGCAAGTTAGACTTAGATGAACAAACTAGACAAACGCTTCATGAAGCAATCAAGGTTTTCGAAACATTAATCATATACAGAACAAGCAGAATTTAGTCATGCTGGGTGAGACAGTAAACACACAATGCAGCTCGGACATACCAATGAGCAAATTATCTAAAGCAGGATTGGCATGCTAAACAATATAATAGCTATAGCTTTTAACAGAATAAACTTAAACATGCTGAGTGATACAGTAATCTAGGCATGCTGATTGCTCATTGAATAGAATAGCAAATAGAATTGGAGATCACACCTAATGAACCGCAGCAATCAAAGAGCAAACACATAGTTTTGGAATGGGAATTGAATCAGGACATACCAGTTAAGGAGAGAATACAGAGTATGGAGCAGAGATGGTGCAAGTAGCCAGCCTTGGCTTACAGCCGGCTGGATTAGTGAGTATTACAAATAACAGAAGGGAGGAGAGCTTTTGAGAGTGTGAGAGTGTAGATGAGCTAGCGTTCGTGTCCAGAAGTGAGGAGTAAAGGAGAGTATATATAGCAGTTAAGAGCAAGGAAAATAATGTAAAGGGAATCAACCCTTCTGCAATTAAGGAAGCCACAGAATCAATTATACATCAATTAGTATAATTTTCCCTCAATTAAGGGTAATTAACCAACGGTAAAGGCAGAACATATTTTAGGAAAGAAAATCAAACAAGTAATTAGGGGTAAATAGACAGAGGTTTAATTAAGGAAATGATCAGTAAAGAATCAGTGATTATCACGGTTAAATTAAATAAGGTAAGAAGGCTAGTAAAGATTGTAAATAAAGGGAATAGTCAGGAAT